TGGGAGGTTCCAGTTCACTGGGGCTGGTGTAACTCTTGGGCAGGGGCAGGTGTTCGGAGCCAGCCATGGGGAAGTAGCCAGTGAGCAGCCTTCCTCCATTATCTCTGCTTCTCTTCCTGCCTCCGGGTTTTACTTTGAGTTTCTGCCTCAGCAGGCCTTCACAATGGACTGTAATCTGTAAGATGAAATATTTTCTCTCCTCCCCATGTTGCTTTTGGTCATGTTGCTTATTGCAGCAATAGAAAGCCAGCTAGGACAGCCCCCTTGATAGCACATATGACTATTGGAATTGAAGCTCTTTTTGTCCAGTTTGTCATAAAGAAGAAAGAGTTATCGTAAAAAAAAAATCTGTGGCTAATTTTCACTGGAAAAAATTTAAATTGCTTGGATTCATAGAAATATAATTATAAGACACTGGGTTTGGTCACACATCTGTTTTTTTTCCATTTTTTTAACTTTTTAAAAATTTTTTATTAATTACACTTTATTCATTAAAAAAAAAACAACTGGATTCATCCCGTTTGGAACCTGGAGGTGGTTCCGAGATGAAGGAACACCTGTTGTTCTTGTAGAGGACCCAAATTCAATTCCCAACACCCTCATGGTAGTTCATACCTGTTTGTAAGTCCACTTTCAGGGGATCCAACAACCCTCTCCTGACCTCTGAGGGTATCAGGCATGCAAATTCATATGCCCTCTTACACAAAACACTCACACACATAAAGTAAACTAAGTTTAGACTTATTATTTTCCAGATTTAGCTAGGCATAGTCATCCAAGGTCAAGACTGTGCTTTGAAAGGTATACTGATGCTAGAAAGCATGTGTCCTAGTTGCTGTTCTCTTGCTGAGAGCAGACACCATGACCAAGGCAGCCCTTATAAGAGAAAGTATTTAATTGGAGGCTTGGTTACGGTTTCAGAGGCCTAGTCTATTAGCATTATAGCAGGGAGCATGGTGCATGAAGGAAGGCACAGTGATGGAGAAGTAGTTGGGAGTTATATTCTGATCCACAGGCAGAGAGCAAGACTAGGTCTGGTGTACTCAATGACAAGCTCCCTCCAACAAGGCCACACCTCCTAATCCTTCTAATCCTACCAAACAGTTCCACTTCCCAGTGACTAAGCATGAAACTGCTACAGCATGTGACAACACTGATCAGTTATTAGAGAAAATAATGCGGGTGATCCCCGGACAAATGTCCTTAAAGGACATTTTCATTTTCCCATCCTTTCCTTCATGACTAACGATCAGACTATGAACAAGCTGACAGCAGGTGGTTAAGTCGTCACAGAATATGGGGTGACTTTATAATGGAGAAAATAGGGTGAAGCACATGGTATCTGGGCCCCTGTCACTGAGGGACTTCCATGCCAGCCCTGAGTCCCCTTCATCTGGTCTGGTATATGATGGGAAAACAGACATATACCTTCTCTAAGTGAGAACTACCCGATGAGCCACGTGGCTCAGCATAATCCTGTTGGACACTTCTGAGGGAGAATCAGGCACTGCTACTTCCATTCCCTCACAAATCCTGTCACATTCATGGTCATTATTCTGGTTAATAGTTGATGGAGAAAAAAAAAACTCACCTGTTTCTGGTATATCTGAACTTTTAGAGTTTGTTTTAAAAAAAAGATTTAAAAATGGAAACAAGCACAAAACGAGGAGGAACAGCCACGTCGAGGGGTCCTTTTTCTAAGGAAGAGGCATGCCAGGCTCGCTAATGCTCCGTTCAACCTGTGATCTTGACAATGGAGTGCCGGCCGGTGATGTGAAGAACCGCTAAAAGCGAAAGCGCATGTCACAACTACTTTGAGCGTATCTGTTTTGACATTTTTATTAACAATTTGAGTGAAGAATTAATTAAATTGTAATCAGGTGTGGAGGTGTTAACCTCAAGAGTTAAAAAGCTCAGTAGCAGAATGTTTCCCTAGCTGTACAAAGACCTGGGTTCAATCTGTGAGATACTTGAAGGAAAAAAAAAAAAAGATACATTTAACCTTTCCATTTTTTTTTTTAAGAATATGAAAGCTAAATCAGGACTTGAGATTCAAGCAGACATTTGAAAAAACATAACTGTAGCCATGAACTGATGAGATGAGATGAAATTTAATCAGGTCAAATGTGTAAGGACCTACATGTTAGGTTTTTTTTTTTTTTTTTTAAGTCCACTGTTCAAGCACAGTAGGGGTTAGCTATGCCTCAATCATCAGCTCTTGCAGGAAAACACTTAGAGATGCTACTTGGCTCCAAGCTGGAGATGTCAGCGATGTGATGTAGCTACAAGAAAAAGACAGTGGGCTCTCAGGGGCATTGCTAGAAACAGAGTTTATCAAAGGAGGTGGGCTGAGGGTCCCGCTGAACTCATTCTATACCTGGAATTCTCATCCAATCCTGGGTACCAGATTTTAGCAGCCATCTAGATAAATCTGTCCACATCCAGGAGAGGAGCCTAGGATGGAATCATGTGAATAATGCTCAAAAGATGTTTGAAAGCTTCAGAGCCCTGTAATTAAAACCTTGAATCTTGGAGCCAGGCTGTCTGGGTTTAATCCTAGCTCTGCCAATTACTGAGTATATGTTTATTTAACCTCTTTTCACTCTCTGTAAATGAGGACTTATAATAATGCCTATAATAATTTAAATACCTATCTCCAAAGATAAATGAGGGTAAAGCCTTTTAAGTAGTTTGCACATTATGGCACAAAACAAGTACTTGATACATGTTAGCTATTGCTAGAATTAAGGTTCTAAAGTGGAGAGTACACTTGGAGAGATTAAGCATTGCTTTGTGTGGTTCTCAAGCTTTGTCAGAGAAGATTCTTTTTTTTTTTTCCTTTTTCTCTTTTTCAGTAGGCAGCAGTTAATGCAGAGACTCATAACTGGTCAGAGCATTGAGAATAAGGGACTACCAGTGCTCAGCCCTATAAAGGACATCTACCTCACATGCTCTCCAAGGCTCGGGGAACATTGTGGAAGAGTGGGAAAGGAGAGTGTAAGAGCTGGAGGATGAGGAAGAGAGCCGTGAAATGATGCCTTCTGAACATGTCAGGGTCAGTGCATTCATGAGCTCACAGTAGCTCACAGTGCTTATCTGCATAAGATCTACACAAGATGAAGCCACTCAGCATCCTAGCACAGAGAGAGAAGGAGCTCAGGAGGTCCTACCTCTGGCTGAGGAGCTATTGGCAGTTGATGGGGGAATCTTTTTTCTTTGGAGGTGTGGCCACTGTTAAGTTGTTCACGCTCCGGTGGATGCCCCACAGTCAACCAGCTATGGAAATCACTAATTGAACTCAGTGGGTTATTATATTATTTTGTTTATTTATTCATCACTATTTTTAAAGGAGGAGGAGGAAGGAGGAAAGAGAAAGAGGAGGAAGAAGAGGGGGAAGAAGAAGAAACGAAATTAGGAGGAAGCATGTGAGAAGGTCCTGAGAGGAGCTATGATTGGGGGTAATATGAAATTCTCAGACTAAATAAAGATATTAAAAAATAATCCAAATAAATGGGGGAAATGGTAACAACATAGTAGCCTTTAACAGTCATTTAAATATTTGCCCTGCCTGTTAACGTATATTACTAGCTAGTGCCTACAGTAGAGAGATTGGCCAAAGTTCTCTAGGGGTAGGCTTAGCTTGGAAACAGAACCTATTTTCTAGTTTGAGAAAGAACACGCAGACCTCTTCTTGAAGTTATTAGTAGCTGAGGATGGTATTGGGGTCATCCAGCCATCTTGGAGCTACAGGCATGGATTTGTGTGGCTCTCAGCCTTGGTCAGAGAAGATTCTGTTTTTCAGGAGGCAATGATTAATGCAGAGACTCAAAACTGGTCAAAGCATTGAGAATAAGGGACTAAACAGCACATCTATATGACATCTATATCACACTGGTCCAGGTGATTAGGGGATGGTGTTACTACCTGGGATTCTAACCAGGTTCCAGGGTGATCTCTAAGGACAGCACGGGGTTACTCGTGGCAAGCATGTTCTGGGAATGGTCACTGGGAGCTGTTCCGCGGACAGCCTCTTGGCAACCATAAGAAGTACAAGCGCTCTGTGCTTTAATTTCCCCTGCATCGTCACTGTGAAGAAGCCAGCTACCCCCTGGCCCTTACAGAGCGTCAGGTACCCTGGACAGCTCCTCGGGGAGCAGTCCACCGCTAGGGGGCAGCCGCCAGGAGACGAGTAAGTGACACCCCGGAGGGAGCTTTCCTTCCAGGCCCTGTGGGGAGAGGGATGAGGTGGTGTGCGAATCGGGTGGAGGTTTGTGCTCCATGGGTGCGAGACAGAGCGCGCCGCCTGGGTGTGAGTCAGAGCGCGGGTGCTAGGGGGCTCGGTAACTAGTCACGGAATCTCACTCTCGCTTCATTCCTCCACCCATCCATTTTACACCGTGCGCCCGGGTACCAGGCGTGTGCGCACACCGCACGGTGTGTGCTGTGTGTGTTGGTTTGGCGAGATGGCTGGGGCTGGGGTGTGTCCTTGTGTACCTCTCCTCGGGTTAGGGATAGTCTCCTCTCCACCTTCTGTGGGGTGTTGGGGTGTGTCTGGATGAGAGTGAGCTTGCTCCTGTGCTAGTGCGCCCATGGTGCTTGTGTGGGTGAGCGTAGTGGAACCAAGTGTCAGGCTTGGGGGCTTCCATCAGCACCCGGGTCTCTGTCTGGGGTGGCTGTTGGCGTAATCTCGACTCAGGTGTCCAGAGGCCAAAGTGGTGGGGGTGCCCAGTCTCCCGCAGGAGTACACGCTGTACCTGGCCACCCTCCCCTCACCTCCCCAAGCTGGCCATGGCTCCGCAGAGAGCATCCCGCACGGGGAGGACCTGGGGAGGTGTCGCACCTGAGAGGAATAAGAGAGTGGGGGTGCAAGGGGCGGGCCAGGTCCCCGGGCGCGGCGCGGGCTCGGGGGACCCGCGCGGCTGACGTCAGGCGACTCCTTAAATAGAGCCGGCAGCGCGCTCTGCTCGGCATTTCCCGAGGAGCCGGAACGCGGCCGGCGCCAGCGCCACCGTCCGGTCCGCTCGTCCTCCCGCCGGCACAGCCGCGCGGCCGCAGAGAGTCCCCCCCCCGAAAAGGCGCTCCGAACATCCGGGATGGGGCTTCTTCGGGCGCTGGGCGCGCTCCGAAGCCGACGCGCCTGAGAGCCGACGAGTGCCGCCGGGAGCCGCCCGGAGACCCCCGTCGCCTGGCGTTGGGGACACGCTGGCGATGCAGCCACCCGGTCCCAGAGACGCCACCGTCCCCGGGACCCCCGGGCACGGTGCCCGCCCAGGCCAGCAGCCCCCAGAGGAGACGGCGTCCCCTGCGCCCAGCCCGCACGGAGGGGACAGAGCCACGGGAGCCCTCTAGGCGATCGCAGGGCCACGCAGCAGCTCCGCCCGCAGGTGCCACCCCAGAAACCATGACCCCCGGCGGCGCGGGCCCATGGAGCCATGGCCTATAGGGTCCTGGGCCGCGCTGGGCCACCTCAGCCGCGGAGAGCTCGCAGGCTGCTCTTCGCCTTCACGCTGTCCTTGTCCTGCACTTACCTGTGTTACAGCTTCCTGTGCTGCTGCGACGGCCTGGGCCAGAGTCGCCTGCTCGGCCCGCCGCGCTGCCTCCGAGGCCCCGGCGCGAGCGGCCAGAAACTTCTGGCGAAGTCCCGCCCGTGTGATCCCCCGGGACCGACGCCCAGCGAGTCCAGCGCTCCCAGCGCGCCCGCCGCGGCCGCGCCAGCGCCACGCCTCTCGGGCTCCGGCTCCAACCACTCGGGCTCCCCGAAGCTGGGCACCAAACGGCTTCCCCAAGCCCTCATTGTGGGCGTCAAGAAAGGGGGGACCCGGGCGGTGCTGGAGTTTATCCGCGTGCACCCGGACGTGCGGGCCTTGGGCACCGAGCCCCACTTCTTCGACAGGAACTACGGCCGAGGGCTGGACTGGTACAGGTAAGGGGGGCCACGAGGGCTCCACTCTGCGCGGGGGGAGTCCTCTCTCTCCCCGGAGCCATCCTTTGCCTTTCTCAAGCCGGCAAGTCGGGGGTGGGGTGATTCCCGGAGAAGGACCCACCCAGAACTTCCCGGAGATCAGCTCTTCCCGAGGTTCTCTGACGAGCAAAGGGAAAGGCATTCCCTCTTACTCCTGGGGTACCTGGGCGGTAGGGGACATTTCTAGTCAGACCGAGGTGCTAGCTGCAGGGCTGGCTTCTGTGTACCAGTTTTGGGGGCGAATGGGGCTGGTTGCCCAAGGCAAAGGGTGATCTGATCACAGCCCTGCTCTGATCTGACCCTAAACTGTTCTTCCCTGGCCTGTGGCGCCATGGCACCTGCCGCTGAAAAAGGGAAACCACCGCATAGGCCCTTGGGGGTGGTTTGTGCGTGGATAGGTTCCCCAAGCCGAGGACAAAATGAGAGTGTGCCCCGAGTTCGTACAATGAGACAGGGAACGAGATGTGCCCCTTGGAGAATGCCACTCTCAGCTGCCATTCTGGAGCTCACTCCCTCAGCAGCTCTAGTCCTGGGCTAGTGAGCTTGGAGTGAAGGTAGGAACCCTGGAATTTAATCCTGGCTCTGCCACTTAGATTGAGCAAGTTCCTTAAACTCTGCCAGCCTCTCTTTCCCCATCTATCACAAGGGGCAGGAAAACAGTTCTTGCCCTGTTTGCTTGCCAAGGCTGTTCAACGTGTTTGAAAGATGTGAAAAAAATGACAGCCAGCATTAGGGGAGCTTTTACTAAAAAAAAGCACCAGTAGCCAACAAGAGGGATTTGGAAGACAGGTGGGCACTTAGAGTGAAAGCTAGACAGGATCCTAGGAGTAGTCAGACATGCCTAGAATGCCCACTCTTCCCTCAGACTTCTGCCAGCTAGAGTCCCCCCTTTCCCCGCCCCCCCTGCCGTGGGTAGTGTCTGGATATACAGTGAGGCTTCTTTGAGGTGACAGCCTTCACTTTCTGGTGCCTCCAGCGTCCTTTGGCCCTCACAGCCTGTCTGGTGCAGAAGTGCAGGATAGGTTCACAGAGGGACTGAGTCAGGGCAGAGTATAACGTGTGAGCCTCGGAGATGTCGTGGAATTACCTGAAGACATTCTAGACAGGTCTGAACAGTAATGGGGCTGTGGAGGGGTGCCGTGGTAGCCGCCACAGTTGCTGAGGCTACTTCTTTTATTTTTCATATAAAAGAAGACCTTTTGGTCTGTAGAATCATGAGCGTACTAGATAATGAAAGGGTAGTTTCATTAGAAAGACGAACCTAATGGACTATGAACAGAGTTCTGGATTTCCAAAGAAGGGGGGAAATCCGCAGGAATGACTTGTCACCCTTTGCAGCTAGCCCTGGCCAGTAGTAGCTATGGGATGGGACATGTGCTGTCCCCAAGATGCAGACACATTGTCTGTAAGGGAGCCCATCAAGGGACAGTTGGCACCCATTGAAGCATGGGTTCATGCCAATGCTGACGGCCCGCCATTCCTTCCGAACTGTGACCCGGGATGTTCCATCTAGTTAAGTGCAAACACTGTCTGAACCAGACCCCACGGTATGGGCTGCAGAGGCACTGAACCCCAGTGCCCTGATAGAGGTCAGCCACAGCCACATTTGTTGCATGCCAGGGTTTCCTCGATAGAAGATATGAAGATCGTTTATGAAACCTTTTCCCAGTGTGAAGTGCTTTTTAAGTGCGAAACAGCAAAATTCTGAGCATCTAGCTTTTAGGTGATACCCCCTGCCATAAACACCTCTGTGTTGAGCCTAGACTCTCCTTCCCTGTTCCTCCCTCCTCCACCAAACAGCATACCTCAGGCTTCCTTTCTGGAGCCTGTGTCATTCAGGGATGACTGCTTTTTATTTTTAACCTTGGCATGTGTGATTCTAAGCCAGCTTAGCTGTGAACCTTGGAGATGGGAGCCATGCCTTTTTTTTTTCTCCCTAGCACATTTGGATTCTGCAAAAATTCTCAGCTGAATCTTGGTAGGTTTTATTTAACATGAAGCACACTGACAGCTCCACTTCTTTCTCTCTCTCTCCCCTCCCCCTCTACCCTTTCCTTCTCGATATTCCTAAAGGAAAGATTAGCCTGGAGTTCTGGTCATAACTATGATACCCATCAGTTTCCCAGGAAGGCTGGGAAGTCCACAGCACTCAGGAAAGGGTTGTGTGTGTTTTGTGCTTTTGGGGGGGCAGGGGCTGCAAACCAGCACCCCTCATAGTCAAGTATTTCACATGGGGAGTGCTGTTTCCACAAAAGGTGATATGCTTCCCCACTCAGGCACTGTCTCTCTGTTTTAGCCTTTATTATCACTTGAGTAGCATGCAGCGATTGCAGAGACTATGGGGACTCCTGGAATTCTTTAGTCTGTGTTCAAGGAGCAGCCTTCCACCCACTGTTGTGGCCTGGGCTTTTTGGGGTGGAGCTTTACCAATGCGGTGGAGTCCATGATACTCTGCCCATTTTGAAGTTCTGGAATACTTCTTAGGTCAGATGATCTAAATGCACATAGACAACGGGAAAATAAGAATCACCACCATCAAGCCACAGGTCAGACTTCTCCTCCATGAAGGTAGAATTGGTATAGCCAGAGAGACACCATCAGCAAAAGGGATGAGCCTACAGAGTCCTCATCTTCTTTGTTCCTGGATCCTAATCTCTTCTTGGGAGCCGCTGAGCCAGACCACCCTCAGAAAGCCCAGCTCTCTCAGCAGAGAAATCCCTCTGAGACCTTCTGTGATCTCATCTCCGGCACTTAACTCACCTGTGTGTCTGGCCTAAGTTCCCCTCTTCAAACTTCCTCCAAGACACAGCATATGGACCTGCGGGGGTGCAGCGAGGAAACCACTAGCTGGTTGGAAGAAGAGGAAAAGCGATATTAGGTTAACGACAGTCCCAGGGCAGAACCCACTGTGTCAAAGACCAGAGATGACCTCTTTAGATGCTCTGCAATTTGGAAAAAGGCCTTGAGTCTCAGCTGCCTTCTCATGGAATGGAGTCCATAATAATTACCCTGGGTTTGAAGAATGCGTGAAACGTTTCATATGAAAGTGCCATGGGGGAAAAAAAAACAAACTTTGGTATATAAAGATAAGCCAATGATGTTACTGCTGCTGCCACAATTACTGCTGTTTTGCTACCAACACTCCTGTTATTGCCATTAATGCTGTTGCTAACACAGCTGTTAGCGCTGAACCTGCTGCAGCCGCCAAATGAGGCTGAGGAATGCACCGCTAAAGAAATAGTTTCAAACTTCCCTTTGTGTGTGTGTGTGTGTGTGGTGTATGTGGGTGCCTGTGGGTGCATGGATACATGTGTGTACATGCGAGGAAGATAGAATTTGAGTTGTTTTTAACCCTTGTTTTTTGAAACAGGTTCTCCCACTGAACCTGGAACTCACTGATTCCCCTAGGGAGGATGGCCAGCAGGCTCCAGGGAAATGCCTCCTCAGCAAAGAGATCATAGGAGCTTGCTACTGGGTTTTGGTTTTTATGGGCATCCTGGGGCCCTGAACTGAGGACCCTCACACTTGTGTTCCCTGCAAGCGCTTTACAAACGAACCCCACTTCCTCAGCCCAACACTCTCCTCTTTCTTACTTCCTTTCTGCATCCTTGTCTTCTCTCTCTCCCTTCCTTGCTTATTGCTCTCCCTCCTTCCACCCCAGTCACCTTCTCTTTCCTTACTTTGCATTGATAAAATTTCACCCCATGTTTCTGCATCTCTGTTTACTCACCTTTAAAAATGAGAATGATGCCTGACCCAGTCTTTTACATCACATGAAAACCGTGTATGACACCTTATTGTGGAGATGCTGTAGTTTTACCACAGACGCCCCTGATACAGACTGTTCGGTATGCCATTTGTAGAGAAATCTAAATGGTATTGTGTCCAGGGGCCTTTAGGGTTCAAGAGGAAGGTGAGTTTTGTTTCAAGTATCTCAATTTTGCTATAGCTGTGGGTTGGCAGGGTGCGTGTGTGGGGAGGAAGTGAATCTTTTCTAAATGCATTAAAATGCCAGCAGAGAAGTTAATGCATGATAGTTGACTCTGCCCTGGTGTCCAAATGTTGATAGATGAACTTGTTATACATTTTAGACTCCATCTCATCTCTGCTTGCTTTCTTGCTCAGCATCGTTGTGTTCTTGGGACTGTCTAAGACAAGCAGACACAGGATTTGCCTCAGAGGTAATGGTCTAAGTAAGACAGAGAAGGAAAAACACAGAATGAAATCTACCACATTATCCAACTCATCTAAATCAGTGACTCATATGTAACGGCAAAGCTAAACTCTGGCACGGCAAGCCTTAGGAGGAAACCCACAGGCAGGAGACAGGGGCCTTCTGCACGAAGAAGAGAACACAGAAGGCTTTGCCATCTTATAACTGGTCAACACAGGAGACAGACCGACCTATGCTCACTGTGTGTACAGGTGATCTGTGACCCCCCACCCCCTTGCCCCACAAGTGGTCTCCTGTAGAGTGTCTTTGCAGATACACCCTTATAAAGAGGTTTCCTGCATGGGTCCAGGGGAGTGTGACACATTCTGATTAAATGAAGCCCCTGGGTCTGGAAATTCCCCATCTGTCAGCCTCGCAGCATGCTGGAGGTATATTAGTTAGTTCCAGCATGTGCTCCGTTCTTCTCCTTTACTGAGGAACATTCAAAATGGGCCAGCAGAGCCGCTGTTGTTTGGAGGAGGGTTCGGTGGGGGGGGGGAGTTAATCTCACTTCTCTCTGGAGCTTCAAGAGACTGAAGGAGCCGGGAACGGGAGAACAGGATCCCCCCCCCCCCGTTGCTGGAGCTTGTGAGGCGAAGAAGATCCCAAAAGGCCCCGATACTTTCACCTAATACATAGTGTTAATACTGTTTGTTAAAATAGAAAAAGCAAAACAAAACAAAACACATCGCTTAACAGAGAAAGTAAGACCCAGGGTTTTTGTTTTGTTTTGTTTTTTAACTTTCCT